AGAGAGAGAGAGAGAGAGAGAGAAGAAGAAGAGTATAGGTACACATACCACCAGACAAGCTGCCAGTGGTCTTACAGAAACACCCCATCTCAACAGTGTGCATTATAGAATTATTCATATTTAATGCAAATATAATATGAAGCAGGCAACACCTGCCACCAGATGGGATCCTGAAATACAATATGTATCAACTAAAAAATATATAGAAAAAGTAATATGCTGACTTACCCCAGTCAATGGGGAAAGACCTGTGTAGAATTGCCACAGGAGGAAGACACAGACAGGTTGTGCAGATAATGTGTGATGAATGTATTGGGAGTTGTCCACATCCCAGCTTTAACGATCTCCTCCAAAGGCAAGCAGCTAAAGACAACTGGGTGCAAAAAAAAATTGTTCATATGGCAATCTACCATGGACAAGTCAGAATACGTCAATCTTATGAGCTAATAAACCCAACCAGTGAGTGCAATAGGGGACAAATCACAGTACAGAGAGAGAGAATCCTTAGAACAAATAGACGAGAATGATAATATGAAAGGAGGCAGTACAAGCCACATAACATTTCAGGGAACAAACTGGACAAAGAAGTTATCTGGGAATGAAAGGGAGTACAGATGGGAAATGGAAAGAATAAGAGAGAATGCCAAACCACCTGCCTGGAAAGCAGATGTATAGGGAAGGAAGGCCCAATCAGGATAAAGAATAACAAAAGAGGAATAGGAAAAGATGTATGAAACATCCTTGGTATAAATATCAGAACAACAACAACTGCAAGCAAGGAGGAGGAGGAAGGGGTTTAATGGAATAATGGTACAAGAAACATGTATAGGTTCAAAAGGACTGGGCATGAAGGAAAAATTGAGATCCAATATGGTAAAAAAAGAAATGTGGAAAATAGACAAGATGAAAGGAATGGAAAAGGAGGGAAGTAACAGGAGATGAGAAAACTTTCTGGAAATGGGAGAATCGGAAAGTGTTTGACAAGGCAGCCCTATGACTAGAAACAGTTGTCATGGGTAAACCCTGAACAAACCACCAAGTAAAGAAGTGGGAAAGATGAGGTACTGAAGGAGGGGAGAGGCAAAAGCCACAGCAAACAGACCAAGGTCTGAAGGTAGACCACTGCCTCTGGTACACAAGGAGGGAGGTTGAAATGAATGGGAAAGGAAAAATGCTACACAAGGGGTGAAACCCTGAAATGAGACAAGGGACTAGACAAAAGCCATGTGAAGATGGAGTTGGGTGACATTGGGATGAACTATGTCCGATAGTGATTGTCAGAAGAGAGATTGTGAAAGAGATAATGACAGGGGATGACACTCCAGTAAGGGCCAGGGCAGAGGAAACTACCTTCAAGCAGGCCATGACAAGGAGTGGTATATATAAGAAAAAAAAAAAGAACCCTGGAGAGGAGATTAATCAGAGGGTAGGCATATGGGTTAAGACCCCTCCAATCCTGACTGAACACAGCTACTCCCACAGCTGAAGGATGTGGAGACCAAACGGAAGAAATTTTGGCATTCCACTGAGTGGCAAACACATCTATCTAAATGTGGTGTTCTCAGTTGAAAACACACCCATCAAAATACCTGTGGAAGAAGGGACCACTCTGTGGGGAGAACCTGGTTGGGTCAAGATATGCGATCGGTCACCAGATTCATAACGCCCAGGAAAGTGACACATCAAGATTGTCATGTTCTGGTCCCAGTGAAGAAAATCCAGAATCTAAATAGCAAAGAGATCTGGATCCCCCCCCCCCCTTTACTGGGCAATATAACTGACAACAGTGGAATTGTTGGAATGAACCAGAACCACCCACCCCCTCAGGAACAGGAAGAAATGATACAGAGCATGATAAGCTGCCAAAAGTTCCAGAATGTTGAAACAGGTAGTAGTCTCCTCAATGGACCATTGACCAAGGAACCATTGATAAACAGATGAGGTTCCAGACAGGGTATAGGAATGGGAACCCCCCCACCATGGTCAGTTCCCTGTTCAGCCACCAAGCAAAGTCAGGGATTGTAGAAGAAGTTCCACTGGTCAAGAAACATCTACTGAAGGGAATGCATGTGAGCTCGAACAAGGGAATAAGAGCTTCCAAAGAAGCTCACATCCTCAAAAGAGAGAGAACCCTCACACAGTGGGAAAATAAAAGGGTAGGGACATTAAGACTGCCTGTTCCATATCCCTGAGCCAAAGTGGAGAAGGAATGGATCAATGAAGAAGGAAATTGAAGACAGTTTCTATCACTTAGCTACTACACTTCAAGTATGGAGTCCTGCAACTACTCAATTAAAACCAAATATGGTTTCTATCACTCAGCTACTACACTTCAAGTAAGAAATCCTGCAACTACTCAATTAAAACCAAATACAGTTTCTACTGTTCAGCTACCACACATCAAGTATGGAGCCCTGCTACTAACTCAATAAAAACTAAATACAATTACTATTGTTCAACTACCACATTTCAAGTACGGAGTCCTGTAACTATTCAATTAAAAACAAATTATGGTTTCTACTGTTTAGCTACTACACTCCAATTATGGTGTTTGGAACTACCAATTTAAAAATGAGCTGCATGTCTTTCTATAAATAAACAGTAATTGCTCAGTCAAAATTAAATAGCACTTTTCTTGCCCAGCTTGCATTTAGTTTTTGAGAATTAATTAATTAAGAAGTTACAATCACAATTGACTGTAGAGAATATATGAAATGTAAACATTAAAGCTGAAGTTCTAACACACCATGATAGTATCAAAGCAAATACCATTTACAGTGCATTTCATATACTAAATACTTGAATTTTTTTCATAGTTATGAAGATTTCTAAATGGTAAGCTTGAATAGATATTAATTAAAAAGTGAAATCATGATAAACAAGGAAAGGTTATGTTCTAAAGTGATAAGGTACTTAGGTTTAACTGTTAGTTATCTTTTCTTTGTGATCTTACATGACTTTTAATCGCTTCATTAGGTGTAAAAAAATAAGAAAAAATGTTGAAACATTCTGATGGCCTCTGCACAAAAGCAAAAATGTTGTTAACTTCTACATTTACACAAACACAGTAGAATAGAATCCTCTACCTAAAATTTCTATTTTTATTTTATTATAATAATAAAATTTAGTTAAGAACTTGAAGATTAACATGGAAATCATGTCAGTACCTTCTTAAAACTAAGAAATTCTTTATTACTGTCACAATGATGATTTAGACAGGCTTAACAAGGTACACAAAGTACACATTTGCAATACTACATACAAATTACATCATAAAATTTTTGAAACCTAAGTTTCCCTATACCTGTAACAACATTTTACCAAATATGTATATTTTTTTCTCATGAAATTATAATATCTTCTTGAACCTTTTATATAATCTGTGACATATTTCATTCAAATCTGACTTTTGACTTTTAGTTCACTTATATAGTTTCTAAATGTTTATTAATGTTTGATATCAATACATAGAATCATCATATTACAAGTCAAATACAGGAAGTCTACTTGAGAACTAGTTTTTTACATAATAAACAGAGATAACCTTAGTGGGTAGGCAAAGAAGGTACTTGCCTAAGGCTGGCAAAAGTGTAAACATGGGAGAAAAATATTAGTAGTAGGAAGATGCAAAAAAGAGAAAATTAAAGTTTGAACAAAGTGGTTTGGTTTGTTTTGAATTTCGTGCAAAGCTACACGAGGGCTATCTGCACTAGCCGTCCCTAATTTAGCAGTGAAAGACTTGAGGGAAGGCAGCTGGTCATCACCACCCACCGCCAACTCTTGGGCTGCTCTTTTAACAACAAATAGTAGGATTGACCCTCACATTATAACGCCCTGGCCATGCCAAGTTGAACAAAGTGAAAAAATAATAATTGAAGAAGAGAGAGAATAAGGTATGAGAAAAAGAAAGGCATAGATTTAAACCAAATATTACCAGCACAATTTACAGTATCAGTAATGTAAAAGAAGTACAGATGGATTGCATTACTTTTCAAACCAACAAAGTTATTGCTTCCTGAACTGTGCCTGGCACTTTCTTATTGTTGTAATATGTTCCAAAGTCCAGACTTTCGTACAGATGGGTAGCACAGAAACAAATTAAATATGAAAACAAACTCGTTCTTCTTCTTTTTAGAAGATTTTTAAGTCTATAGACTGATATAGATGACATTTTTTGCCCTTTGAGTGAGTGCAGACTGTTACAAAAAGTAATGTTTTGCCTATTCTTTAATGATTCTAATTAATCTATTTATTAATGTTTAATTACAAAAGTGCCAGATGGTGGACAACTCTTGCCTGGAACAAAACATAGGAAATGGATAGCAGCAAATATGAGAAAAAAAAGTATTATTCTTAATAATAAAAGTATGAAGGTTTTATTATAACTTTGTTATAAAAACTAAAGTTTGAGAAAAATTAACATTTTAAAGTCACATTTTCAACATTATATTTCTAGTTTTTTTAGTCAAAAAAGATAGGACTAAGTGAGACATGATGACAAACGGCAAAAGATGTTAAGTACGAAATAAAAGAAATGTTCTATGGAACTTTTATTTAATTCCACGTTAGCAATTTCATTGTATTGACATAATATAGAAAGAAATAAGAGTCCTAAGATAATCTTTAATAACATTTTCATCCAAGCAAACAGCAAATCCTCATGAACTTCACATTACAACAAATGTTCATTACACTAGTTTAACACAACTGGAGCACAAAGAAAATAAAAACATACACACACACACATCTGAAAGTCACTGATCTATGTTAGTTTCAACAATGGAAATAAAACAGCTATTTACTTTATGTTACTGTAAAAGCTAAGAAATTGTTCATTTCAATGTAGAAAACTCAAAATTCCTTTCTTTAAACTTTGCATGGATAAAACACATGATCAAGGAAAACTATATTAGTAAACACTGAAGAACTGCAACTAACCAGTGGATTTCCTCGAGACTTTGGGATAGACCAAAAACAAAAATATACAAGTGAATCACCTTTATCATATAAAATTCCCCTGAAGTAATAATTAATGAATTTTTCTAAATGAATATTTCTTCCTCATTTTGAGACTGTTCAAGTTACTTTTGTTGTTCTACACTAAAGCTTTTAAATCTCGGAAACAAAGTACTTAAAAACAGTTTGATATTTCAAGAACTTACATTTTTGTTGTGAATAATGATTTCAAATTACTGGAGTAAAACAGGGTTACTATACACAAACATTGTTAAAGGCAAATCTTTCTAGTTTTTATCAAAAGTGTAGAATGCAGATTTCTAATGATTTGTTAGGTGACCTTTAGTACTGCACAAATAAAATAATTTGAATGTTTTGGATGGATCTAATCATATGGTGAAAACTAATGTGTTTGTATTAAAATCCGTAATATATTAAGGTATTGGTTCATATAAGCAACAATATAGCTGAACTAATACCAGGTGATCTTTGGATGTTAGTAAATAGACATAAGAACTGACCAGAGAATGTAAGTCACATGTGAATATAAGGTTTATTTATTTGATATTTCATCCATCTTCTCTTTAAGTTGTCGTTCAAACACTTTTTTCATGTCACAGAATCCTTGTCGTGTTTTTCCATAAGAATTAGGTCCTGCTGATGTGGGCGTATCCCTATTAAAAAAAAGTTTACAGCAGATCCCCACTTTAATGCAATTCATTTTCAATACAAAAGCTGGAGGAAAATTTATAAACTTTTTTAAAATATTTCAAAGTTCAAAAATTCAAGAGTGTATGCATTAACAATTTAATCATGTAAGCCTAGTTGTGCATAAGATCTGAACTACATACTTTTCAAATACAGTTATTAGGGAATGTTGACAATTTTTCATACTTGCTATTGTGCAATTCAATTATTGTAAAACATATTAATCTTGTTTATATTACACTACAACCAGAGCTCAGTAAAATCCTACAAGTCAATGTATAAAAAGTTTAGAATACAGCTTCATACACTTATAAATTCAATACCTAAAAACCAAGGAATTTTGATAATAATAATAAAAAAAAAACTACTGTAAGTCAGTTTAAGAAAAACAAGAATTAAAAAGCTTTTAAAGAGTTTCATATACAAAACTTAAAACGAGTTTGCTTCATTTCAAAATAAATAGTATAAGCCTCTTACTTTCTACAAAATCTCTACAAGGTTTTATTCTCTTAAGAAAACAAAGCAGACTTTGTTGGCAAATAATCAGAAAACAAAGATGAACCTTGAGAAAGTTGGGCTCAAAAGTTACATCTTAATCATATACATCTGCAATTCATAAAAAAGGTATCTATACTCTCACGAAATAGATGAACAAAGTAATCTCTAGCTGGTATCATTAAAAAAAAAAAAAAGAATGAGGTAAAACTTAATATTAGCTTAAGGAAGCAAAATTTCAATTCCATGACATAAGAAAATGTTCTATAAATAATAGTTTTGCTGCTTGGTAAAAGGATTATTTTACCTTTTCAAACATTACAAAATTAAAGGTTAAAGAGTCTGATATCACCATTTTTGCTGAGCTGGGTGGAAAATTAGTTGTCATTAATAATGCATGTGCCTTATAATATCAAGACACTCCTGTCAATCTTATCTATCCATAAGGAGAGTTCTCTTTTTTAATACCTTTTGTGATGTAACAATAATGGAATAAGTTAAACAACAAACATACCTTCCAAGGTTTCTCATCCTCATTTTGGCTTCGGGGGGCATTTCTTCATCATCCTATTGACAGAATATTTAAAAAAAGGTTCACACAAACTGAACAGCTAGAGGGGCTTCTGCTCCATACAACAATAAAATAACAACAACAACAACAATCTGTCTCTAACACAATTACATTTTCAGTAATTTCAGTCTAATTCAATGCCAAATTCAATATGGCTGCTGATCTGAAGTAGCAGCCATTCCCAGTAATGATTTGTCAGCTTTTGGTAGTTTTGTACATTTATTATATGGTTTTTATGACATCTATGAAAAACCTCCAACCTCTGTGGAAACAATAAAAAAAATGGAAGGAAAGCTACAAGATTTTTAATAAGTCATGGCTGATCTCTAACTTTAAAATTAAAGAATTTCCTTTCAAACAAGTTGAAGGTTATCTTTGGTCTACCGTCTAGTCAGTAAAGAAATTGACCTTGCAGATCTAAAGATTTACTGCTAATGTAAATTTAGTATTTAACATTTCATTCAATAATTTCTAATGTTCAGGAAAATGTACACAATAAAAATTAATTGATTACTTTCTTCAAATTTTCATTGTGTTAAATTTCATTTACATGACCTGTAATACTCACGTCACTATCTTGGTTAAAGACTTCAGCAACAGAGGCACTAGTTTTCTTCAGGGTTTGAGGAGGCTCTTTTGGTTTCTGAAAAAATGTTCAAATGTGTCTGGGGTAATTTGGTTTACAATAATACTTTGTTCTACTAGCTTTCCTATTCTGCCTAGTAGTAATAATTCATTTCAACTAGCATAACATTTTCAAAGTTAACATTTTCCTAAACTGAAAATGCATTTCCGATAGATACTTACTTTGCTTACAAAAAACTTTCACAACTTATACTTCCCTATTAGTGCAAATTTTGCTTGCCACTAGCTTTGTTACTCCCACTTATTACTGTATACTAACATTCAAATGATCATGCAGCAACCCTCCACCAACAGGAGTGCAACACTAACCCTATCGTAACTAGTGCCATCTCTATTCATGCACATATTAATCACTTTGAGATTAGTCATAATAAACCAAACCAACTTACACCAGAAGTTGGGAGGACGGGTGGGAAATGTAAGCGGAGGTAAGTACCTATCTGAAATACATTTTCAGTTTAGGAAAATGTTAACTTCTGATACGATATCTTACCTCCTCTCACAAAACAGTTAGAATCCAACATTGAACTGGTGGAGGGAAAGTGGGAAGATGATCCCCCTATAAGAAGCACCCAAAGGAAGACCATGAGGTGTGATAAGGAAATAAAAACAATGCCCCAGTGCAAGACCTCACCACTTCTGAGTCAGGTATACTCTTCGTCTTTGAGTAATGTGTCGCCAAAATGTAAAGGGCGGGAACTTGGAGGGGTCCCCCAAAAAATACAGAAATAATGGGACCCCCTGGTGTAGAGTGGCTAAGGCACAACAGACTGTAAATGGGAGTTCAACCTTAACCAACATCTGACTGCATCTGGAATTGTACATCAGGTCCATGGTAGGAAGAGGGTCCTCTATTTTTCACCTCAAAAACGGGTACTGACAGGGAAGACGATCTCCTGTACTAAGAACCCTTATCCTCATGTGTACACCTCCAACACAACCAACACCAGATCCACCAGGAACTGATATCCAGCAGATGGTAGGAAGGCGGAGAGCCCAGGTGGGTGTTCATCTCTTGTCCAAAACCTGGCGGCATTGGGAATTTATTGTCCCATCTGAGGTAGGAGGAGGGAACCAGCCAAACATGTGTGAAGACTTATATGGTTGGATCGTCTCCGACCAACACCCGCTTTCCAGGAACTGACATCCGGATGAATGTTTCAGCCAGAGGAGTAAACACACACACACACACACACATATATATATAT